CTTATTGTTATGTTTCTGCTTTGTGTAGTGTTGCCATCTAGCCTTTAGGTTTCTGTTACCATGTGTGGTCGGCGTTCCCTTTGTCTCCGTCTCAGTCTTTTTTCCATGTCTGTTTTCTCCTTTGTCTCCTTGAGATGCACTTTACAAATTTGATATTTAAGAGTTTGAGTGCGCGGGCACCACGGTGGTGCGGTGACTTGCGCTGTTGCTTAACAGCAAGGACCACATTCATTTGTGGGGTATCTGGTTTTGCAGCCAAGAAACTGGGATTTATGTTGTGTGTGGTACTTTGACCAACATCTAGACACGGCTGTAAAACTTTGTATTTCTTGCCTCTATCAACTTTTTGTCAAAAAATGTTTATTAAAAATTGTGAAAAATCTTGACAGAGCTTTCTTTTGAAAATAAAGATTTTCAACATCTCCAAACACGTGACTTTTCTTTAAAAATCATGCATTTTGTTAACACAATTGCAGAATTATTTCAGAAAAAACAAAAGTGAACAAGTTCAAAAACTGAGCTTTTATTTAATTGAGCCATAGAACGAAGCTCTGCTATGCAGGAGGTGCTTTAACTGGATTTTTCCAGCCAAAGTTTTTCCACAGTATAAACACTTCAGCAGTGTTTCAGCTGACACAAAGAACATGGGGATGTAGTGATATCCTTATACTGTAAATGTTTTTATGCAAACACATAAAAATAAAGAACATAAAAAATAAAAATGATGTTAAGTTAGAGCAGAGTAAAAACGGCTGCTGCTACCCCTCCTGTAGATGCTCTTGCAGAATAAATGTGAGTTATCACATTTACATTCAGTTATCTGGATTTTCACGACACTTGATCTCTGATCTTGATCTTGGCTTCAAGATCACTGAGATGTGAACTTATCCAAGAATTTTAGAATCTGCACCTTTGGTATGAATTTTCAAATCCTGTCACCTTGTTCTGGGGTTATGACATTCAAGATAAAACAAAGCGATGGTTGAGTTCGGCAGGTTGGAGATTCTGTGAACAGTGTTAAAGAGATGCTTCAACATCTAAAGAAAAAATGAACAAAGATCAAACAACCTTGCTTGAAAGTTTCAAGGACGCTTCTTTTCAGGACTTTGCAGACTGCACTTGGACGAGATCGCTGATCATTACTGAGAATAGCATTAACGAAGCGGAATAAAGAAATGAAAAGGTGACTCTCACATACGCTGCTATGATCAAAGCATGGTTTTAAAATGGCTACAGTGTAGTCTCATTGTGTATCATCTGGTGGTTTAAAGGCAGAGTCGGAGAAAGCGACACTGTTAGCCAGATCAGGAGCCTTAAAATAAAAG